ATTGGGCTCAAGTTCATTCATTTCTTTTCGCAATTGGACAACATTGTACTTTCTGATGATTGTGGACTTCGAAATTGGCCAGGATCGTAACATTGGTATCAGAGCGGATTCTACTTGTTGGCGAGAGTTGACTTTGCTGCCATAACCCTAACCCTAATGGTAAGGGCTACCACTTAGGGTTAGGGCTGGAAGTTAGGGTTAAGTGGGGCAGCGTGGTAAAGGGAAGCTGCCCCCACCTGATAGGGCTGTGTAGGGTCGACACTAGACCCGACCAGGTTGCTTGAGTGCATGTTTGTGGTGGCGAGACACAAGGTGGGACTTCGTGATGCAATTTGAGAGAGGCGACAGTGAAGGGCACCTACAACTTGAATCTGGACTTCAGGGAAGACGAGGAGTGACTTTAGGGCTCCCCTCAAGTAGGCGAGCTTGAGGGTGGCAGCCATATCTGCACCTACGGACTGCAAGTTGCTGCTTTGATCTTCAACATTGACGGGGGATCCGGCTKTGTACTTTGGGGTAGATGTTGACCCTCCTAGATGATAGGACACTAGTGTAGAGGATGCTAATTGGGTCAGGAGGACTATGTGAGAGGGGGGTGAGTTCTTTCATCTCAAGAGCCCRGCCACTCAGGTAAGTRYCGTGCCACCAGGGTGCCCATGTGTGTGTGCATGGAGTTGACTGCCTGTTGGGGTTCTCTGGGTTCTTCTTCCATCCTCCATAGTCTTGATTGTGTGTGAGGTGTGTGAACTGCCTACTCACCTGATGAGTGAATGAATGGAGTATCTTGTTTGCTATGCGATATCTCTCTACAGTGCTTTGTTTATTTCATTCTGAACGGCGGTAGTCTACAGGTTCTTTTTGGGGCAAAGTTTCGTTTTTTCAATTCAGTAGGGACAAAGTAGGTCTCTGTGGAACTCTTGTTGGTTGGGACCCGGTTCTGACTCCATTGGGACCATTTGGGACTCAGTGGGACCGGGCCCGAACAAGAAGGGCCCCTCAGGCCAAATCTGTTGACGTCAGTTACCTTGCTCTATCTGATTGGGATACAGACTTTATGCTTTCGGATGAGGACACTCGCTGCGGAGGGGATCTCCGCTGGGACGTTTTATCAGACTTTACCACGCAATCCGTCGCCTGACTCGCACCTTATACACCACTCAATTCTCTCTTGCATTTCGCTGTACATCTTGAATCTTATTTGCTGTGTTTTCACGGAGTTGAGGCTGGCTAGGCTTGGGAGGACCCCATACGTAGTCAGTCCAGACTGTGTGGCTGGATCGGATCTCTCTGATCTTTTCTTTTTTGTTGTTTTGACTGCTCTCCAGTCCAAATGAATTGCTGCTCCGGCTAGGAGTTCTACCTTCTCTTCTAAATGATTTCAAGCTGTTTCTTTCATTGGGTTCTTTAATGCCTGCGTCTACACGGTCACAAACGAGAGAGAGAGAGAGAGAGAAGAGAGAAGTTATTGAGTGTTGCTCTTGAGGGAGTGAGGAGAGGGAAGAGGAGTGTTCGTCACAAAGCTGAGAGGAAGTACGGACCCCTCTTGAGAGTCCTTACTGACACCCTCATCCTCCATCATGGCATCTGCAACAGATTGGAAACTGCAGATGGACGCTGCCCCTGAGGCAGAAAAACCGCAGTATCAATTCTTCTACGAGAAAGCCTTGAAGAGGGAGGAGGAAGAGAAAGAGAGAGAGAGAAGGGATAAGGTGCAGGCTCACGAGGCCGTCCTTAACACCGTGTCCGCTCTGACTCATGAGGAGGTAGAAAAGAAAACAGTCTAGGGGTCCGGGTTGCTGAGGACCATACTGGCCAGCTCGCACAGGTGTTTAAGCAGCTCAAGGAGTTGCGCGAAGACATGGCCAAGATGGCGCAGCAGCACCGTGATCAGCTGCAACAGTTTGCTAGTTCGCAGCAGGCTCAAATCGTCTCTTCACTCACCTATCCTGCCTCCAATGCTGCGTGTCAGTCCAGTTTTGCCCCTCCGACTACGTCTACTTCTTCTTCTTTTTGAGTGTGGTTAACAGCCAAAGCGGAGCTGCAGCAAGTCCAGACCCCGCTGCTGCTGCTGCTGCTGCTGCTGCAGCGGCAAGTGGTGGTGCAGGGACTTTTGGAACTGTTGCAGCCCCGGGCTCGGACCCAGCAATGGTTGGGCCAGGCGGCAACTTTGCTTACATCGACAGGAAGGCGGCGCAGATTCCGTCCAAGTATGATGGAAAGGACGACGTCGAGGCTTGGATCAGCTCCATGCGGTCCTACTTTGATGTATTGGGGATACCCCTGTCCACTCAGTCGTCTATCCTGGGGACCAATGTGGAGCCCGTCGTGCGGGGTTTCCTAGAAACCCAGGCTGTCCAATCAGGCTATAAGAGAATAGACTTGAACAAGTGGCTGAAGGCTACGCCTACTACCACACTTGAGGATCTCTTGATCAAACAATATGCTGATCCACATGCTGCAGCTAAAGCAAGACTTAAGCTTGACAAGCTCAAGCACAACAAGTGGACCGGCACCGTGCACAGTCTGCACCAGCACGTTAGTAAACTCTTTGCTACTCCGGATGTGGAGATGACTGTGCAGTACGGTCCCCTCTACTTTGAAAGATCGCTTAGGGCTCGGGCTCAACGGATATACAGATTGGCTTACCCTCATGCGGGACTTAGTCAAGCTGGAGGCACAATACCTCCCGGGTGGATCAAGTGGCAAAAAGGCCACTGGCCGCAAACGGTTTCCAGGCAGCAACCGTTTTGCAGCATTTGATCTGCTTGAGGCTGACGAGGAGACCCTCGTAGAAAAATCTTCTCTTGATGACGATCAAGAGCAAGACTGCGGGGCATCTTGCTCTTTGTCAGCCCATGAGTTTGAGTATGTGAATGACGATGAATCCATGAATGCCTTTAAGAAGACTGCCTTTCAGAGTAAGGGACCGAGGACCACGATGAAGAATAACACTAACACTATCCTTCTTTCCAAGGGAGCAAAGATTCCACCAAAATCGGAAGATCCTGCCACAAAATCATGGGTAGATCTCCGGAGTAGTGAAAGTGAGTGGAAGAGAGGAGTTTGCCTGCATTGCACCAAACCGGGACATTCAGTCCAACATTGTTTCAGATTGCAGCAGGGAAACCGACACCGGGGTTCGAGACATCATCAACACACTCTACTGATGGAGAGGCTAAACATGTAAGTACAGATTCTTCTTTGGATTCTGATCCCACTCAGCAAACCTCTCCTGAAACCCCATCTGATGCTGATTCCAAGGTTGAGAAGATCCATATCCTTTACAAGGAGCCTTGGGTAGAGTCGGAAGAAATTGACTTTCATTCTCTGTTGACGCGCTGGGCTCACATGAAGCAAGAACGCGCGCAAGGGAAAACGAAGTTGATCTTCTTCAAACTCTACAATAATGGTCGTTACATCCGTGCGTTGGCTGATTGTGGTGCAACCGCCAACTACTTCTCACTGCACGACATTCGTAAGGCACGCTTGGGGATGAAGCAAGTGACTTTGCAGAATCCTTGTCGGACCCAAGTGGGCAACCAAGAGGTTGTCACTTCCACGCATGCAGTCAAAGGTGTGCGCACTACCTTTAACGCTGATCGCACAATCACGAATGAATTAAACTTCTATGTCCTTGATCAGTGCCCCTTCGACGCGGTTATTGGCTTCGGCTGGTTGCAGGCCCAATGTGAAAGAACCACGTGGAAGGACTCACAATTCATGTTCAAAGATGCCATGGGAATCGAGCGACCAGTCCTCTTGGATGGGCCGCACGAGTCCCAAGTAACCTTTCTCAATGCAATGCAATTCTGCAAAAAGTGGCACAGACGCAAAACTGATGAGCAAATGTATATAGCCTTTGTTAGGCCTGCTCATGTGCCTTCTATTTTTGCTGTACATATTGATTCTACCTTGCATGTTGTTTCCACCTCGGAAGCTACTTTTACCCCTACTAAATCCATCTCTAGTCCAAGTGATTCTGCTGCAAAATTTGTTGTCTTGGCTGCAACTATGCAATCTGGTATGTTGGCTCCTGAGAGTGACGATCCCCCTCCGGAAATCCCACCGGAAATCCGCAACTTTCTCAACCCGTTCCCTGAGGTCTTGGCCGAACCGCATGGAGTTCCCGTGTGACCGGTCCGACACAAAACGAGTTGATTGAAGGTAGCACCCCTCCAAAAGGTTGTGTCTATCGAATGGTGTGTCAAGTTGAGTTAGATCAGTCAAAGGAGAGGCGACTGTAGAATAGTTCTTTACGAAGTTCCTATAGTAGCCGCACATTCCTAAGAATGATCTGACCTCAGTGACTGTCTGAGGTCGTGGCCAGTCTCGAATACTAGCCACCTTCGCATCTTCCGACCTAATCCTTTCCGCGGATACTTCAAGACCCAAGTATAGTATCTTAGTGCGGCCAAACTCGCACTTCTCTAAGTTGACCTTATACTTGTGCTGTCGTAGGAGTGAGAGTACTGTCTCAACATGCTGTGCGTTCTCCTCGGTAGACTTACTAAAGATTTGAATGTCGTCTAGATAGACTACGACAAACTTATCTAAATGGTCATGGAAGATCCGATTCATAGCGTGCTGGAATGTACCCGGCGCATTACAAAGACCAAAAGGCATCACTACAAACTCATACAGACCATAACGAGTCTGAAAAGCTGTCTTGTGTTGGTCCTCAGGTCTTATTGCGATCTGGTGATATCTGGATTTCAGGTCTATCTTTGTATAGTACTTGCATCCCTGCACCTTATCCAGTAGGTCGTCTATGCGAGGTAGAGGCTCTGCGTTTTTCACCGTGATGGCATTGAGGCCCCTATAATCAATGCACATCCTCAAAGTACCCCCCTTCTTCGGTACGAATAGAACGGGTGATCCGTAAGGAGAAGTACTAGGCCGAATCCATCCCTTCTCTGTTAGCTCCTTGAGTTGCTTCCAAAGTTCATCTAACTCCCTGGAATGATTTCTATAGCGTGGACGACTTCCCTATCAACAACTCCTGTGGGCTCCTCGAACAGATTAGGGAACTTAGCAACGACGCGTTCTATCTCTGGGGGTGTTTTAACGGCCTCCCGCTTCTCAGAGACATAAACAAGGTACATACCCTCCTCTTTATTTTGCTTGTAATAGTTGTAGAACGCTGATGCACACAAGCAGCCATAGGTATCTACAATACTGCTGGCCTTGAACTTAGTCAATCTGACAGTTCGGCCAGGCAACTTTTGCTCGGCCACCTGCCTTAGTCTTTACTACCGCGGCAAGCTTGCTACCCTCAACTACCTCCTCGCCATCATACTCTGAGTAGTCCATCAAGTCAGAGAGCTCATCAATCTCAGTTTGACTCCCATCAGACCCAACCATCACCAACTTCGCCCCCTTCTTCTTCCGCTCCTGAGGACTCTTCTTCTTCTTTGAGTCATTTCCTGAGGTGGGTTGAGCATTGCCCAAGGCTTTCCTAGACAATGTCTCAAATGAGTGGTACTCAGTGCGTGCCTCACTGGCTAGTAAGTTCCTCATGTTCTCAGGTAGACATCTAACAAACGTGGTTAAGAGGAACTGGTCACTGTAGTTGATGCCCGGGACGAGGATCAGGCTCTTGACGGTAGTCGTAAGCTCCCTAATTGACCTGAACTTGCGTTGGTCAAGTTCGTTAATGGCATCAGTGGCCCTTTGAGCCTCCTGTGGGTTATGCCATCCAGCTTCTACCATCTCCATGAATTGGTCTAAAGTCAAAGACTTAACCCAATCGGCCATGCGCCGCCCGTACCCAGCCTTCACAACTACACCATCTAACCATTTGGCTGCCTTACCCTCTAGGTAAGACGCCGCAGTTACCACTTCGTCCTCAAGCAAGGTCCTTTTGGCCTTCACCCAAACCGGGACGGTCCTCAACCATGTGTTGAGTTCTTCGTCCTTTCTCTCGCCTGAGAAGGCAAGAGGCGGTTTCATTGGGGTCTTGGGATACCATTGACCTTGCGGCTGTCCTTGTGGAGGACTAGCCTGTTGCGGTGGTGTAGCAACCACCGCTGGACCCGAAGAAGAAGATGCAACAGTTTGTGCGGCTGCTGCAGATGTGCCACTTGGCTGTGTGCCAGCTTGAAGCGGAAAGGGACCTGACATCGCCGATAACGGCAACGGCGATTGTGCTGGTGGCCGAAATCCTGGCTTTGTCAATGCATCCAGGATCTGGTCCAAAGTGCTTTGCATGAAGTCCATCCTGCTGTTTACGTGCGCATGCAGTGACAACATGTTGTTCTTCAACACTTTCAGGGTGTCAGACAAACCTGATTCGTCCAATCCCTCTAACGCAGCCTTGTCAGCCTCTAACGTATCAAGTCTGGCCGCTCTACTTTTTATCTCCTTTTCTCTATCGGTTGCTTTCTTCAGATCCTCCTCTAACTGCTGGCGGAGCCTCTCGACCTGTTGGATTTCTCTGAGCTCCCTCTCACGCGGGGTCAACGGGCTGAACTGCGAGCCCGCCATTTGACTAGAAGGTCTAGACCCTGTTGAACCGGAATTGCCCGAGGAACTTGTGGAACTCAGTGGCATTCCCAAATGAGTCCCACTAGTCCCTTACGAGGACGCAGACGATGACGCAGCAAAGCTTGCGCCGTTAGCCATTGCTGCTGCTCTGGCTGCTGTTGCCTGCTCTCTAGCTGCTGCGTTTGCTGCTGCTATCTCCGCTGCTAGAGCATGGGCTCTACGTAGCCGACTTTCTTCTCCCGACTCCAAGGCCTGGAACACGTGCGGTACCCTTAGTGCCCGTGCACGTGTTAGTCTCCTGTTGTCAACTCTATCATCAACAGGATCTGACCCACTCATTAGTTAGGCAGATAGTGTCTACACTAGAGTCCCCTAATGGGATCCTACCGCAGCATGTATCTGACCGACACCTAATTTTCTAACAATAGTTGTGTCCGGCGAGTATCCTACTATATCGAATCAAGTGGCATGTCTACTACATTCACACAGATCGTCTACATAGTCTAGATGCACCCTGACTGGTTCACTTACAGCAGCATTAGTTAGTACTGGCTATGGTAGCATACAACAGTCCTACACTAATCTGTCTGTGAGGTTAGCAGTCCGTCAACCAACTAATCAAAGGTAAAAAGACAATGTAGCAGATGTATGATTGATGGGTATGGTTGTGTATACAGTTGAGCACCAATTGAAACCTACCCTCCCCTCAATCCAACCATCCGAAACAGCATCATTGAGCAGGCAGTGTCTTCATGTGCATTTTGGCCCACCCCTGTGCCCAAGTTGTCACCGAGCAAGCCAGCCCAACCACTCTTATTTACCCTCGTACGGCGACGAGCCTTCCTGTCCATGTGATCTGGCTGATCAGGAGGAATTTATAGAGCGCCCCCATGTCTTCATGAATTATTTAACGTCGCAGTAAGGATGACGATCACAACCAGATTCACAATGAACTCCCAACCAGAAATATTTATAGACGGTCTGGTAAGCGTCTGTCATGGGCTGGCATACCGGGAGCAACTTCTATCAGCGCAGCAAGTGCCAAACAGGACAGCAGCCATCGCATGCGTGTACTACTCCCTGTGGGTTGGCATGGTGACCGTGACCCAAGTGCTTCGCGACCAGGGCCCTTCAGAGGCACCGCCCTTTCTCCTTCCAGTATGCTTCCGGGAAGATTGTCGTCTCTCAAGGTAGCGCGCTCACGACACCTCACCAAAAGAGAGGACTCTCAAGTTGGACTCACTTCCTCACGGTAAGAAGAGATTGAGAGAGTAGATAAGGTAAGGGAACAACGTACTTGGAGATAGCTGCCCCCAACCACAGATTTCTCACCAATTGAGCTGATGTTGCATTTGATGACCGGTCATGACCTCGGTACCACCCACAACGCAATGCAGTGCCACCTTAGTCCAATGCCACATCAGCATGCTCTCATCACCAATTGAACATTCCGCTGTAACCCACGGCATACACTGCCGTCATTAGCCTTCCGGTGCACCCCTCTCTACCCAGGGCGTGCACCTATAGTAGCCTGACGTCACAAGTACCCACTGCGAAGAAGCATCATCAACGCACCAAGTCTGTATAACGCCAGCATGCCAAAGGTAAGTGGCGATCAAACCAGCTCCGATACCAAATTGCAAGGAACATGAGTATGGACGAAGCACAGAAATCCAGAATGCAAAATCACACTGAAGTCCAATTATTCAAAGCCAAAGCAGATAGCATATTCACAGTTATGGGTTTTGTTGGACTTGGGTGATGAATCGTTGGAGGGTAGATCTTTTTTTAATATTTTGTTTGTTTTTTTTGTAAGTAGGATTTTGTAGGACTTCCGTAGGGCGGTGATGACGAATCGTCGGAGGAGAGCGGACGATCAGGTGATCGATATGAGCTGGTAGCAATTCGCATAGCACAGTTTCTGGCATGTAGGGGGCATGCGGACAGTCTGAGGCGCGTGGTGCTCTGTGCCTGATTGTTTGGCGAGGTGCAGCTTGAGAGACACGCAAAGGTAGCAGTTTGGCGGGAAAAGGGTGGTCTGTGGAGGTCCAGGGCTGTAAGTATTGCGTGTTAAAGCGGACGGGTACAGGACGGTGGTGCGTGGGACGGTGGCAGGAAGGGGTGTGACATTCATCGTATTCATCGCATATTGTAATTCCAGCAGGAGTTGGGCTGGGCGTAGAGTGGGAAAGGTAATGTCAGATCCCCTCGTCCCGATGATCTGGTAGCAATCCGCATACCACAAGTTCTGACATCTGGGTGGTGTGCCGACAGTCTGACGCGCATGCTGATGTGTCGGTGATCGTTCCACGGCGTACGCCTTCGCAGACAGAGAAAGCTATCAACAATTTCGCGGGGAAACCGGCGTGGAAGACGATCGTGGGTTACCAATTTTATGCTTTAAGGTGGGTTCGTGCAGGTGTGCGGGGCGCGGAAGGGTCGGAGGGGGCGCTGTGACACTGATGGCGGGGTGCAATGCCGACATGAGTTTGAGTGGACGTAGAGGGGGGGTGTGCGAATATCGGTAATTCGATGTTAAGCAGGTGTAATAATAAGAAAAAGAAAACTAAGAAACAGAAAAAGAACGAGTGGACGTAGAGGGGGGGTGTGCCACGTTGCAGATCATTACGTATAGCAATCAACCTGTTTTTCTTTCTTTTTTTCTAATTAATTAATACGTATTACTCTGCTTCGGTCATCATCATGGTAAGGGTAGCCATCCTCATCATCACGGTTGTAGTACAATCTGAATACAAACACTTACATGTTGCAGTTTCTGTACCTCGCGATAATGATGACGGGAATGGTCGTAGTCACCCCGATGATGGGGTCAATGCGGGTATGCACCATGCGTATCAATCACCATCTGTTCATTTCATGATCATGATCACGGCTAAGATGATCACATCATCAGAGTCGTTATGATCATTATCACGGTCGTCGTAACAGAGTCTGAACAGAGGAGCAAATATGGTTGTAAAAACTCTTGCCCTTGCTTATATGTCCAAAACAAAAAAGAATGGGGAAAAACAACGAAAAAACAACAACCCTTCTGCAGTTGAACTGTTGCCCTATGTCAACGTCATCAAAAACTCTCTCTTTCTCTCTCTCTCTCTCTCTCTCTCTCTCTCTCTCTCTCTCTCTCTTACTAGCATGATGTGCCTGTATGTTGATGATTCGGATGATTAACAGATGATGTCCTTACCTGCCATGGTAAACTCACGATTCCTTCATCATCATTTTAAGCTGCACCCGTGCACTGACAATCCTATCAGGATCCGCTAATGCACCTCCACATTCACCCTCTCCTTCTGTCTGATGAAGCTGTATTTCGAAATTTACAGTCCTTGCGAGTCACAGTAATTACATTATGCGCTGACCTACTGTCATGCGGGCGAAGTCGCACTGGTCCTTCTTGTATATGCAGAAGTTCAAGAGATGTTTGGGAGGGAGGGTTGATTTGCACAGCCGCATTTTGAATTGTTCCATAAGAAAGATGCGGAGTCTCGCTGAGGGTTTCTAGCAGGCCTGGTTATTGTATGCCTGTACAGTGGGCAAGTACATGGCTATATTCTCCATGACAAGGTGGTCACCCACGCTCCATTTGTATGGCCTGGCTGCTGGTGCGGTGAGGCTTAAAATTTGCTTCTAAGGCTCTAAGCATAAGTGATTTACATATCAAAGTGCTTCATATACTGGATGCGAGGGAGGTAGAGCACCTGTATTACGAGAGGACCTGTAAGTCTATTCACACCAGGATGTGAACCTTGCCCTCAGCTATGGAGAGAACGAAAGGTTGTAGGTTATGTATGCTGGTAATAGCTGAGGGGTGTCAGCCAGCACTCAGAAGTTGTAGTACTTGCAGAGGACCCGGATTTTCCATGCGAAGGTCAGAAGGTGGTGGATACAACCAATGATATGTATTATATATGCACGAAAAGTTCAAGGGATGTTTGGGAGGGAGGGTTGATTTGCGAATAACCGCATTTTGAATTGTTCCGTAGGAAGGAAGCTGAGTCTCGCTGAGGGTTCCTAGCAGGCCTAGTTATTGCATTCCCGTACAGTGTGCAAGGAACATGAGCGAGAGCGATTGACAGAAAACCAAATTGCAATATGACGTTGAAAGCCAAATAGTAGTGTCCCAAGCAGATAGCACAATTCACTGAGATACATGCCAAATATGAGCAATACAGTGAACTCAAATGTCAATGTCGGCCTCTTCTCGCCACCAGCAACGAAGTATCCATTGTCCCTTCTCGATTGGCTCTCAGCGCCCAGCCTATCTCTACTCAGAACCTATCTAGCCAACCACTGCGACATGCAACAAGGAGTCACTTCCAGCTGAAGACCAATGTACATGACGAAGTCGCCCGTACAGATTGCCGCACACACCAGGTGCGTGCCTCGCATCTCTCTCTCTCCTCACCCTGTGCTCACCCACCATGCACGACATTGCCCACACCAGCCTCCTTGCAAGCAGGCTCGGCTATGGCCACTCGCTCTCGCTGCCCACCAGCTCCCCTCACCGATCTGCGCCCGTGTGCGCCCCTCCAGCCAGCTCCCTGGCAGCTTGCTCGCGCTGTATTCCAGCAGCGCGGCCGTGAGGATGAGCAGAGCCAGAATGCTCTGCTGGGAGGCGAGCACTTTCCTATATGGAAAGTGTGCCTTGCCTTCTTTTGCCTGGGCCTTGCCACAGTGTTTCCAGTGGCTTCTGGTCGGGCCAAAGTATCTGTGGCCACGCCCAATGCACACAGTGGCCTGGGCCCGCAAAAGTCAAGCAGCCCAACTGTGTGATGTGGCCAGTGTCACACGTTGCAGTTCTATTGTACGAATTGCCTCTGGTCATGTCGCTGTTTGGATGAGCCCAGAGGCTCACCATGTTGGGATCCCACAGGGCATCGGCCGTGTAACCAACTGCCGCTTGGCAACTGTCTGGCGCCTCCCCAATTCAGAAATGACAAGAACAAGACCTCGTGTTGAAATGCAAGCCCGCTTTCACTGAGGGTGGGCACAAGGCTTGCTGGGGGTCCTGTTGTTGGGGGTCGAGGCCAGAAAGGCCTTGCGAGGGGCTCAATCCTCGCAATCCCTCCTCCTTAGCTTGAAAAGTCTGCTGAGATGCTTCTACGCAGGCACTTTCCCCTTCAACTTCCGTTCATAATCAGCAACGACCTGAGGTGCTGTCTTGATCAGCTCCTCC